GCAATGGTACAGTTGAGGCATGAGGATCTAATACAAAAGGCTAATCATCTGGAGTAAAGTTACTGGCAGCGGATTGTCTCCCTCTTCCACAATGTTGACAATGTGCCTCTGAAGGAAAGTCAGTGTCTTTTTCAGGTGTGGTGGACGTGCAATGTTGAAAGCAAAATACATACAGAAGGCTGTTATGAAGGCTTCATCAAGGCTGGTGCACTGGCACATGTCTATTACATCTACTTTCACCACACTGAGCCCTCCTCCTATGATTGCCATTTTCCAGTCAGTATCCATCAGTTGTATGGTTGGAAAGGGTGTAGCAGGGTCCCCCTACATAAAAAAAAATAAAATAAATAAAAATACAAAATTTAAAATGCTTTTCAAATTCATCAAATTTTGTTACAGCCTCTTTGGCTCAGACAGTATAGCTACATACAGTGCAGAACTGCAAAAACAATTAGAAGGCTAATGTATAAGGTTCACAATATATGATGCATTTCATGTTCTTGTATAGACTGATAAATCTTACATTGTTTTCTAAAACCATTGTTTTAAGATTTTTAACATATGGGCTAAAAGTGTACAGAAGATGTTAATGATTTTTTTTTTTTTACTATACTCACTCCAGCAGGTGTCCTTAAGTATGGGTATTTTTTGAGTACATCCTCCACAGACATTCCTTCCATGTTTTCTCAACGTCTCCAGGAGAATGTTCGTGCCATGTGGTCTTGGACAATCGAGCGAGCTGGATGTGTTTTCCGATACGCACTTTGTAGCACATTCACATGGGCCTCAACAGACATTGAATCCTCCCCAACACAAGTTTCCTTCATCAGAACAACAGAAACAGATAATGCTTAGACCATGACAGATGACAGCTAAGACAGATATGTGAAACATCTAAACACTTATTGAACAATAAGGTGCTTTAGATAAAAAAAAATAGAAAAACACATTGAACTGCATAAACATTAAGACGATGGTCAGGCAGTGAAAAAGTGGCGTATATACAAAAAAAAAAGATTTAAATGTCTGTAGTATCTGCCTTACATTGTCCTGCACTAAGTGAAAATGTAA